TCTGACAAAGAACTGCCAAAAATCACTACTGCTGAAGGAATAAGTAGGTTGAAAAGTTTTATATTGTTTGCTGAACATCAAATATGGACGCTTGACAGTTTAAGGGATGTTATACAATGTTATTTTAATAAGTTAATTAAATTTACAAAATAAACAACTATAAAACTATAGAAGTAATTAAAAATATAAACAACAAAATAAATTATTTAATTATCTAATTTCTATTTTTTAAAAATTAAATAATAAAAATTTTAGTTATATTATAAATAATATAATCAAATATTAAAAAATAAATACTTATATTTTTTTTGATATTAAGGTAATCTTTTTGACTATAAAGTACTTTTTATTAGTAATTAATTATATATATAGTTATAACAAAGTTATAATTAGCTATATATACTTTTTGGATATCTATTTAAATACAGTCTTCTTTCTCTATAATCACCTCCTTTATAATCACAACTCTTATATTATCATGCAAAGTTTTGACCTAAAAATTTTTTATAAAAAAAAACCTCTATATAATCACAAATAAAGTATAATCACTATCATACTATATAATAAAAATAAAATATATTTATATATATATTATCCCTTTATAAAATCACATTTTAATTAAATAATAGCATACTACATATATTGATATATATATGTACAAATGCATAGAAAATACTTAATTTAAAAACTTTAAAATAACATAGTTTACTATCTTTAGATAATTAATTTTGTGATTTATTTATTTTTTTGCTTTAATAAAAGATAACTTAGCAGAGTTTGATCCAATTAGAGTCTACTATCCCTACTTTAACGTTTTGCTCTAATTACCCCCTCCAATAAGTCAAATTCGCATAAAATTAGTAGTCTAATCCAGTGATCCTAACTTAAAGCTTTATGACATAATCTAGAGCTCTATTTGACCCTAATAACTTGGACCAAGTCTTCCACTCCTCTTTCGTAGCCTTCCAATATTAGGTTTAGATAGAGTTTGATTGTTTATTGTGTTAATCTAAGATAGTAGTTGTGTTGGTTGATATCTGTATTACCCATTTCTATAAAAAAAGCTTGTACAGTTATTGTAGGTATTGTCCAAAACAATGTTCGGAATGGAGTCGATTTTCTAAACAGAGTTAATGTTTGTACTGTTTTCATATCGATGTTTGTATGAAATATAAAAAATAGAAATTTTTTGATTAAAAATTATCATATAAAACCATATAAAAAACGCATTCATCCAATAAACAGCCTTTAAATACTCAAAACGGAGTTGATTTCTGAACAAAAAATTAAATATTTTCAGAATTTTCTGAATAATTCCAAGAGATTCTTTTTTATAGAGCATATTTTGTGATTCTGGATCAGTTATCCACACTCACAACATGTATCTAATATAGCAATAAAATTGTGAATATGCATATTTTTTATGCCAAATATACTAGATGCACGTGTAAGATCACAAGTCAAACTTGGGGCTAAACTTAATAAAGACTTGACTTTTGAAGTCAAGTCAAACTGGACTGAACCTTTCACATTCATAGATTCAGAGCATCGCATTAGTATAAATATAGAAATTTAGTAAAGATTGACATATAATAGTTTTGTATCCTTTATACATATAACATATACACAGCTAAGAAAATAATGCAAGCAAAATGATTATGAATGTGTCTTAAAATGATAAATTGTATAAGTAGAAATGCTAGTTCTTTGAAGTCACTGTTTAACCGATACATGTACCAGAGCATTTAACAACCTTTTGCATATGTTATTGTTAAGCCTAACCAAAAACTTGACTAATAAATAGGTACAACCTTTCGCTTATATCTTTTACTATAGCTAAATAAGATACCAATTTTTAAATTATCAACTATAACATAATTTTCCAAAGTACGATATATAACTTTAACAAAATATAATACCACATTCAAAAATTAACTACATGCTTTATTTCAATAATACTATCGTGAACTACATTTTATAGACTATATACAGTATAATGTTTATATTTATTTAATACGCAAATTTTAGTTTATTTATTTTAGATATGTATTTATTCTTCATATAACTAATGTATACAATTTACTATATAACAATGGTAAAACTATTTAATAACTTAGTTTTAATAATCATCAGAACTATCGTAGTTATCAGAAAACCCATGATAATAAGACAAATTATTGTTGTCAAAGAAATTATCGTCACCAGAAAAATTGTCCCCCGAAAAATCATTGCTATCAGAAAAATTATTGCCACCAAAAAAATTATCATTATCAGGAAAAACATTATCGTCATCAAAAAATCCTGTTTCATTAAAAAAATTATCATTAATAGACATACTTTGATCTGCTGTTTTAAAAAAATCTGTAATAGGTTTTTGATTTATAGACTTGGTAATTTTTTGCTTCATTAATGGTAAGTATTTACGAAATACTTTTAAATCATTATTATTGAAAAAGAAATCGTCACACATTTGTTGTTCAGCAAACAATATAAAACTTTTCAACCTACTTATTCCTTCAGCAGTAGTGATTTTTGGCAGTTCTTTGTCAGA